TGGCGGTATGTCCTGATTTCCACACATATTTCGTTTTGCTGTGAGCCCAATCCCAGATTATAAGGCGGCCATCATCCGAACCAGAAACTAATAAATTTCCCGCTCTATTAAAATTCAAACAATTCACACAACCGTTGTGTTTGAGTAGAGCATGCGACAGCTTCATGCGTTCCACGACGTGACGCGAAGCATAATAACGAACTGCGAAACTTTCTCCATTGCAGCCATGAAAAGAAACTCTACCATCTCCCCGTAACCCACTTTCGCGGCGCATTAATTCATACGTGGAATTCCAATTGTATGGTGGTTTCGGTTTTGTAAGCAAAGATTTAATTTCATTTTTATTTTCGGAATGTAAATCCGAAAGCGAAATCAATGATCCTGAAAATTGATCAGACCGCAGTGCAGAAAGCGAGAACAGTTTATCAGAGTCGTCGTCAGTCGAGCTAGAGGAGGAACTATTGCTACCACTTAGAGAGGGCGACTCGTCTTCCTCTACGCTACCACCGAAGTTAATAGAATCGTCCGCCTCACGAGCACAATCAGTTGATGTTTCCCAGGGTGACAATTCATTCTGCGCATACAAGAAAATGTTTTGTGAATTTAAACAATAAAATATAAAGCACCACGTTTGTTTTTACATCACATAATTGCAAGCTGTCAATGTCACTAAAGTTTTCTTCAGTTTCCTTCTTTGGTTGTTCTTCAGTTGAACGAAACAGCCAACCGATATCGAATTTAAGTACAGACGACGTAGATGACGATGGCGACGATGATAATGATAAAGAAGACGAACGTTTTTTGGCACAACGATAATTACGATTACGATTGCGTAGGTGACGCTTCTTCGCAAACATTGAACCTGTAGCCTTATCGCCTTCTTCAACTTCAAGAGCATTTCCGTTCAGATTTTTTTCAGGAACAGAAGTATTTTCAGGCATCACAGCACAAGTTTCTGACTGGATGTGTTCATTTTTTTGGGTTTCATTTGCCAAAAGCTTGTTTAGCAAATTTTCAAGCATTTCGGACCCGAAAATCATGTCCAAACCACTATCAGTACTGTTTTTATTCATGCTGACACTAGCGCTGTTGGCCTTAGTGTCAATACAATCAGCTCCACTGCTAATGCTACAGCTAATAGATGAACTCTGTTCGTTTTCTTTGGAACTTCATGGTTACCAACAAAAAGAACAATGTCGCATTAATTATCCGTATACAAATATTCACTCACTCGTATAATGAAAGCGCAAATCAATAAATTGTGCACGAACATATGGACATTGTACGAAATAATTTAATTTACCTGGGATCACCGCTGCCATCAACATTTGATGGCCAGTTATTAAGTTCTTCGATATTCTGCTCTGAACGGCTACGCTTCGGTGCAGATTCTAAGCACTGGTCGGATTCCTCCATATTTGCTATCAATGCTTTACGGTTTTCACAAATAAATTAAAGACAACCCCTTACAAATCATTGACACTTACAAGTAGTATAGAGTGCTTGGTGTTTGAACAAATATTCAAAGACAATTCGATCAGAACTTTCAGCCAATCCTCGAAAACCAAATGAAAAGTAATCCTTTCCGAGGTTTCTCCGACGTCAATTATTAACAGGATTGCCAAGTCTCATTTATTGCTTACCCTCTATGGTTAAGAAAAACAACGAAAATAAATTTTTAAAATGAATTTTACAAAATTAGTCGATATTACGGTTAATTGAAGACAATTAACACAAAATGATAGACTTATATAGATTGTTTAAAAATGTAGTTCTTTTAAGGGGAAAGATTATTTAGTCTAGTGCTGCAAACGACATTATTTAACTAATTTCTGTTCAGACAAATTCTCAAAGTTATAAAGAGTGAGTGCATTGGTCGTTGAATCTTTCCGAATAAGCTGATTGAGGATCGCTTTTTTACATTTTGAAATAAATAAGAATGATTTATTTACATATTATTATTATTAACTTCCTAAGTACTTGTGGTGGAGTGCGTAGATAAGATTGACATCATTTTTCTGTCGACATTATCCTACGTTTGGTAGGCTGTCTGACAAGATCTCGCGCCGCTTCCTTGCATTGTCATCATGGGCGAATCGATTTGGAATTAAATAGAACACATACAGATTATAATTTGACATGGCGAGATCGCCACAGCTTGTCTGCCATGTATGGTATTTTTAAATTTCTACGCAGAATTTCTTAGGAGTCAAAACAGCAAAATAATATAAATAGTAATAAGTAACAAATAGAAAAGTGTTAAAATGCATTCCTATAATCTACTGTTATTGTGACAAAAAAGAAGAGTGCAATTTGATGGGTCTCCTTATTATTAATACATTTAAACAATTAATTTTATGCACATGTAAGCGTAATTCTAGTAATAGAAATCGTACACTTAATGAAGATTTGTATCAAAAAACTATCATTTATGAAATGATCATTCCAGCTGCAAATTCGCATTTTTATCTCTTTAGTAACATTTTACTCATGATAGTCATGGTGAACTGAAGCCGTGTCCGTTAGACCAATAAAATTCCTCTAGTCGACGTCAAAACAAACAATATTGTTCTTCATATGCACCCTATGCGTGAAATTAAAAAATATGTAATATAAGAGAAGAATATTGAATTGTTGGATGTGTTCAATACGTCAACATATGTCACAACGGTTACAGGTAACGATTTTTATCCGATTGGGCGCTCACCACTTGAAAAACCATGTTCAGTGAACGTTCAAATTTGAAGATTAATATTTATTTATTCCACTATTCATAATAACAAATCTAAAAAACGCTAAGCAGTGATGGTAATTATAGTAATGAATACGAAAGTGGCTTGCGAATTTTTCTTATCTCTGCATTTTGCTGTTACGTACTGCATTATTTGCTCCGAAAATTTCTATACTCAAGAATATGCTTATTAATTTTGTGCCACATTTACCAACTGGGAGTACACATCGAAGTTCTTATAGAATATAAATATTCTTTATAAGAATTTGGAAAGTGTTCTTTCTATGCTCACCAGTTAACGTTTTCTCGTCATTTTCAAAAACACAAGGCTGTAGTAGAATGTAGTAGAATGCATTGCACCTTTACGCTTACACGCATCTACAGCAACAAAGGAAATGAAGCGACCAAAAGAAATAAAAAATTTCAAATATTTTTAGCAGCAACTTAGAAGTGCAATAGTTTAGGAGCTAACCTAAAAGTTATATATAATTTCTACATTGAAAATTAATGTGTATTTCCTCTACATATATTCGTTGTATAACAACATCTCCCTCCAATTTGTTTTCCATTGAAATAAAAGTTGCGAC